TGCGAGACCATTTTAGATTTTGTTTTTATATAACTAAAATCATAAAAGATAAAAATGTGTAAAATTATTACTCCTATATATGTTTACATTTTTATGGGGGTTATCGTGAAGAAAACCATCTGAGTATTGGTAACATATAAAAAAAAAATTAATACATTTATCAAAAGTTAAATACTGTTTTCAAATTACTAAAGCCTTCACTGATATATTATGAAATTTTATGGACTTGTTAGTGTAAAAAAAATAAACCATCAGAATTCCTTATATTCTTAACCTTTTGACTGAGACTTCAAAAAATGCATTTTTACCCATAGAGTAATGGCGACTTTGATTTGCCTACACCTTTGGTATCTTCAGACTGTGAGACCGTTTTTGTATCTTAAAAATATGTAAAATGATTACTATATTATAATTTTACAATATATAAAAAAATTACACTAGGCTATCATTATCTTATCTTACTAATATTATAAATGTGAAAGTTTGTGTGTTTGTTTGTTTGTTTGAAATTCAATCACGCATTAACCACTGGACGGATTGGGCTGAAATTTGGCATGATGATAGATCATATTCCCTATTAACATATAGGCATATTCTTATCTCAAAAATCGTTTCGGGCTCCGCCCCAGTGGTTCTGTAGTTCCCCATGTTAACCTATGAGTATTCATATTTAAAGGGAATTAAAGTATTTAGTCAGTTGTTTCAACTAAAAAAGTTGGTTCTATGATATGCAAAAGTACCGGTATTAAAAAGTTATAAGATTTACCAACAGGGTGCAGCACTATTATTGTTTTGCATTTATATAAACAGCTAATTTGAACTAGCCAGCCACAAAAAACTGTGATAGGCAATGAGAACTATCAAAGTAGGATTGTTTAAATTTGTGTTTATGTTTTTAATTGCATGAATAATTTGCGATATTTTGCGAATTTTTAATAATTTATATTTCTCTATTGTTTAGGTGGAGAGGTAGAACATTATTGCTATGGTAGATGTGTAATACTAAGTATACCGTAAATTTAAAGAAGCTAATTTTATCCAACTGTGGCCTCTCCCATTGCAAACGCTAAGTTAGAGTATAACTTCAATTAGCATTTTACACTTATATGCCAACCCCGTACAAAGGATGGGTACTCTGCTAGTAGTATTATACATAGCATAGTATTACATTATATATAGTACTATATTTCATTTTAGGTATCTTTGGTATGTTGGACCAATCACACCCTAGGTGTCTTCGGTGTAGGGGACCGACGTACCCAATTGCAGACAAATCTGTAACCTCAAAATTACGCCCTCGCATCTGTTGGTAGACTGATTCGAGGTAGGAAGGTAGCAGGAGACACAAGTCCTGCATCCTAGCGAGAGGAGCAGGAACTTGATGAAAATATTACGTCATCGGACTCACTCACCAAAGACACCACTCTAGGGTTAAAATGACTCAACTTATGATCTCAATTAAGTTAATACGTTCAGTGCGGCAAACCTTCAAACAGGCGCTCGCCTATGGCGGCGAGTCCGGGGCGTAGCCCCGCCGCGCAACTGAATCGGTGAACGCAATTGGCAATCAAATATTTCAGTCTGACGAATAAAAATAGAGCAGCGGTGATTGTGCTGCGTTAGCCCGAGAGTGGATGTAGTGTAGTTCACTGAAACACCCAAAGGTAGCAGCACTGCCTGGATCCGTAGCCAACTAGTGTCTTTGTAAAGTGGCTCGAAAAGAGAAAATTGCCGGAACCGGGACAAAATCAAATCAAATCAAATCAAATTATCTTTATTCACTTTATACATTTACATACATGAATACTGTCAACGCATACAAAATTGGTTATGCAACTTAATCTAAAAGACTTAACCATACAATTTGACAATTATTTTAGAATGTATAGCTAATTCATTTTTGATTTAGAAACTCGTCTATACTATAAGGAGCCAGATTAATTAAGAATGATTTTAATTTCTTTAAAAAATTGGGTTTGTTTTGATCTTTTTTTAGTAAGGCAGGCAAACTTCTTATGAATAAATTGCCGATATACGAAGGCTTCATTTTTGAAAGTTTCAGCCGATGATGACTTTTTACAGTAAGATTTTTCCACCTTGTATTGTATTTATGGGATACTTCAGTGTTTTTATCTTTATAAACATGCTGAATAGTTTTAAAAATATACAAACCATACACTGTAAAAATTTTCATTTCTTTAAAGTACTTTTTCACCGACTTCTTATTCTTAAATTTTTCAATAACTCTAATGGCCTGTTTTTGTAGTTTTAAAACCTTTTTCAAATTTGTTTGTACTGTCCCACCATAAATTTTGATTCCGTAGCCAATATGACATTCTATAAGCGAGTGGTATATCAATTTTAACACAGCTTTATCACAGAGATAACAAGCCTGAATTAATTTTACCAACCAAATACTTAATATGTTCATTCCAATTTAGATGTTCATCAATTATCAAGCCTAAAAATTTGGTTGATTTCACCTGATTGATCGGGTTATTATTTAGAGTGATTTTAGGGGTTTGATCTTTTTTGAACTTATTTGTATGAAAGAGAACAAAATTTGTCTTGTTTGTATTTAGTGTTAAATTGTTGTTTGTTAAGAATTGTTCGATATTTTTGAGCTCCAATTCAGTAGAATTTTTAATATCGGTGATTGAATTACCCGAAGTTTTAAGATTGATATCATCAGCATATATACTTAATGTACTGGCTGACTCAGTCAATGCATTAGGGAGGTTTTTAATGTAGCATATAAATAAAATGGGGCCCAAAATAGAACCCTGAGGAACCCCTAGATGCGTTTGTAGTAAATCTGATTTTGTCTTCTGTATCCAATTGGTTTTTGATAAATAAGAGAGTTCTACAAATTGATAGCGATCCTCCAAATATGAAGTGAACCATTTATGTGCAACACCCTTAATACCCATTATCTTAAGCTTGTTTAGCAATACCATATGATCTACATTGTCAAAGGCCTGCGACATGTCCATAAACGTTCCTGCAGTATTTAAGCCCTTATCAACAGAATCTATTATTGCTTCAATTAGACTAATTGCTGCAGTGACTGTTGATCTTCCAGCCCAGAAACCATGCTGTTCATCATCAATTTGCTATGATCTGCTTAAAAATTCTATCAATCTGTTGTAAACTGCTTTTTCATATACTTTTGAAATTGTGGGAAGAACTGATACTGGCCGGTAATTAGAAACATCATTTTTAGAATTCTTTTTATGAACTGGTATGATTCTAGCAATTTTTAATTTATTTGGAAAATAGCCTGTAACAAATGAGGAATTTATAAGATGTGTCAGGATAAACTTTAATTCATCTTTTATCTCCTTTAGAATGGTGACTGATAAGCCATCATAACCGGATGATTTTTTGTTTTTAAAAGATTTGATAATTGAAACTATTTCAGTGTCAGTTACGGGTTTTTAGATAAAAATTTGAATTCAATGAAAAATCTATATTGTTGTCATCTTGAGTAGAGAATGATGGTTGAGTTGGTTTTGTGGTCATTGTTTATGCAAAAAATGAATTAAAGAAGTTGCTTACTTCTTCAGGTCTGCTTATCAGCTTCTCACCATTTTTCAACACAATGCCCTCAGTATCTTTTTGTTTTTTACTACTGTGAATTTCTTTGTTTATTATTGACCAAGCAGTTTTTGAATTTTTTTGCATTTAAGAGATCTGATTTGTAGTTTTTCTTTAAGGTATTAAGACTGTTAAATGTGGATTGTTTTAATAATCTAGCTCCCTTACTTAAATTAACAATAACATCCCTCTTTAGCTTTAAATCATAATTCATCCATTTTTTCTTATTTTAAATTTATTACTGGAAAACACTTGATAAAATATTGATAAAATAAATTGTTAAATATGGAATATTTGCATTCTGTAGGGGCCATATAAACATCCATCCAGTTTTCACTCTGCAACTTAAATTTAAACATCTCGATGTTCTCCAAACTGTAATTTCGGCAAGATTTAGTTCTGACTTTATCCTTTGGTTTTAATTTACTACCAGCAATGTCAAGCTCTAATACTTGTCCATCGTGGTCTGATAAGAATGTAATTAGACCATAAACGTATAACTTTACATTTGTTAAAAAATTATCTATTGCCGATTGACAGTTGTTTACTACCCTTGTGGGAAAGTTGATTAAATATCGCATGTTTTGACTTTTTAACATGCTCTGTAGTTCTTTAAACTTGTTATCTTTTACCATTACATTAATATTTATGTCTCCTGCTACTATAATATTTTTACAAAAATTTGAAACACTATCAATTAGGCTACAAAACTAAGATTATCCAGAAATAAATTAACATCGGCACTTGGAGATCGAGTATTGAAAAAGTATTGCCAGACAGGATTTTACAGGACATTTTAGTACCAACCTACACCAGACTAAAGCTTATATTCTAAGCTAAGGCTGGCAACAATTATAACGCTCCCCGGCAATGGCTGAGCTTACATTGAAGCAAGGTTGTTGGTATTGGAGAAGGAGGACATTTCCCGCCCCGCGCCAGTGGTGCCGGTACAGAGGGGCGTAAATTCCCGCCCCTAGCAATGAAAGTGTTAATCAAAGTTTTATGTATACCTTAGTCAGCTTGAAAACGTCAAGGTTTTCATGTGTTCAAATTATTAAAACCAATATGTTTAGGAATGTATGCATTACTAATTACTATTATTTTAAGCAGTTAGTAAATATTTATTTAAAAACCAATGAAAATAAAATAATTTTTGTTTACAGTGGACCTCTAAAGGAAAATATTTTACACTATCATAAAACAAACTTTTATTTTGGCAAGAGATTTGAGCCCTGCACAGATCCGCTAAGTTTTGGAACTATTGAAGCCAATCAAGATTATGTCAAAGGAGGTTCAAGAAATTTTGGTCCTTGTGCATCGTTCAAAAGTGATATTTTCACTATTACGGATGTGGATTCCTATAACAGCGAAGTTGTAACAAAGAAAGAGCCAAACGTGGAATATGAAGAAATACACATTGAAGATGACCATTCAAAAATATTTAGTGTTGGTCCTAAGAATGGTTCTAAACAAGAATTGTAAGTTTATTTTTTTTAATTTATTACCGTTGTAGCTTAAAAATAGCCAGTATTTATTGGTATGCATTACCTTTGACTATTGATAGAACAATATATTTGATACCTATATTAAAGCTATCGCTAGTTTGTCAAACAATACGGAAGTAATTAAATTGAGTGACAGAATGTGTTAATTTAAACAACTGATTTATATAAAGAACGCCAACTTTTTGATACAGTCAAACTGATAGGACAGCTTACTGCGAGCTTGATCTGTACAAATACTTACATTTAGTTTATTTTGATTTCAGATTTTTGACAAAAGATACTGAAGAACATTTTGAAAGCTTGAGCAGTATAGAACCACAGCCAACACAATTTGAAATGGAACCAGAAACTAAAAATAACCAGAGAGAGGTTTGTAAACTCACTAATCAATTCTGTTTCAGTACTAGAAAGTCTAAAACTGGAAAAGAATACTTTGCTTCATTTTTAGTTTGACAAATTTTAGAGCCTTATTATACGAGATAGCGTGGCGACGTCGCCAGTGACAGTAGATCGTGACGCGCTGGCTACGCATGTGTAATAACATCCATCAGAATCAATGCCAGTGACAGGCTGAGGAGTCAGTTTTATCGCTGGCGATATCGCCAGGCTACCTTGTGTAATAAGAACCTTAGATCGAATCCAAATAATTTAATCCAAGCATAATAAACTATTTGATTTCAATTTGTATATAGAATATGCAGATGCCACTGTGCTGTATAATGTATTATCTCATAAGCCATGTTTACACACGGGCAGGCCTCAGTAAGTATATTTTAAGTTACCCGTAATAAATAACGTGCTACGTGAAACATACCAGTCCGTTTTTTGCAAGTCGCACAATTTATGTAGTCCCGGCATATTGTGTTGTGTTGTACCAAGAGAATATGCCTAATACGAAAAAGCTTTTGAAACTTTTCATAATTTTGTTCTAACGGTTTGCCCACTATGAATTGGCTTCAATTACTAGCATTATTGGACCAATACAGTGCACCCGACGATCTCACACTGTCTTTCTGCACCTTATTCTTTTCAGCACTAAGATCAACAACAAAGACTCGTCCTGACTACTTGACATCTTGTCTTCAACTAAGATGAGATGACAACATCTCGTGACAACAGTTTGCATGTAACAAATTTCTGTTGTCTTTGCATCTAGCAATATTTTGCGAGTAGCATAGAGTGTAAGTGCTTGCGACTGGTATCTAACAAAAAAATGCACGTCGCACCAGTGTAGCTCCTTAGGGCTTGCTATTTCATCAATTACACGTTGAGTGTTACTTATTATTGTGTGCAAGTTTACTAGCTAAGTTGTAGCTATAACTACAACCCACAAAGTTTTTACAGAGTTATGTTATGGTGTAATGTAGTTGTGTGTATTGTTTCATTGTTTTTTGATGGCTTGTGTTTTACAAATTACCTATGAAATTAAATTTGTCACTAGCCTATCTTTTTTCAGCTAAGCATGGAGGGTAGCAGGAACCAGATGATAGAGGGGACGGGCCTTAAGCCTCAAGATCAAGAAACTCCTATTCAAGGTAGGGCTAGGCCACAAATCTTATAACTAGGGATGGGGTTGATTCCAAAAGTCGATTCTGACTCCATCGATTCTTGGCTTTGAAATCAGAATCGACTGCTCAAAGCTGATTTTGATACAGATACCCAACAAATCTCCGAAGATTGCAAGATTGATAAATTACCAATATTGGTACGGTTGCGCGCAAGAACACGATGACAATTTCTTAACCATGGGAGACAATGATGATATCTACACGGCTGCCAGATCTGATCAGAATTTTGCCGCGATCATGGACGACGACCGCGGGAGATGTTCAAGATTTTTCCGCCATCGCTGGAGATGATAATGATGTTTTCATTACCTCAGAGCAATATTCAATATTTTGCCTTGACTGCGCGGAAGACTGTGATGATGTTTCCGTGACTGAGAAAGATATTCAGGAATTTCACAGTGATTACAATAGGAGAGTTATTCAACTTAAATTGGCTAGTTTGAATTTTATACCGATGCATTTATTCTTTCTTTACTTGAAAATCACCCCATTACCGGAAACATACCTTGGAAAGACATACATACAGGGGTTGGTGTAAATTAGAATAACCAATCCATTCAGTGAATTTCGTAAAACAAAAAAAATTGTATCATCATCAAGAATTGAAACTTTTTTGTATTGACACATAAACATATTAGTAAAAAAATATTAGTTTTAGCACTATAAAGTATAAACTATTTCTTTACTTACTCTCACCTAAAAACAGAAATGAACTGTCGCATGAATGCGGCGTTTAAGCTACAGCAGACTCTCGCTCATCCGGATCGGCCTTGTCTGGACTCCCGCTAGTACCGATTGGCAATCATGATTTGTTAGTGGCACAGTACAGTAGAAGTCCGATTATCTGAACTAAACGGGATCGAGACTATATTGGATAGTCAAAATCTCGGATAACATGGCAGTAAAAATTATTACTCGAGGAATTGCATTTTCCCGGCTATCAATACTGTGGGCCTGGGTAAAAATTGAAAAAAAAACGGCTATATACAGTACTGTATTTGCTCGACTCTCAATAGTGCGGATTTATCGTAATCCGGACCGGACGTCCGCCACATTAGTAGTCTGCCAGATAAGCAAGAGTCTACTGTATTTAAAAAATTTAATAATTTTAACCATTGTATTCGCTGTAGACCGTGCATCGCAAATATGCGACATTGCAAAACATTATCAAAAATACAAAAAACAAAAAAATAAGAATATATTATTTAACGATTGTACCGTATTACAAAGTAAATGATCACTGTTTAACAGGTTTTTGCCAGTGGTCTGCGTGTTCTCTTAACCAAGAGACAGCCGGTCTATGTGTAAGATATAAATGTATACCTCGGTTCGTGGCAATGACCGCGGCACATCTCATTAGCAAACGTGTTAACAACATGTAAATTTATTTGTTATCAATGGCCTGTAAATTGAGAGTATTTAAATCTAGGATTTAAATGTACAAAGTTGAAGATTTGAATAATTCAATTGATTAAGTTCAATTCTTTAAGACAGCAACACACAATTTGGTGCTTATTTTAAGCTGAATATGAATGATTATAAGAGTCCTGTGCATTTTACATTGGCTAACACAGTTAATTTATGTTACAGGAAGAAATCCATGGATTGAGAGACCAGTTAAATACATTAACCCCGATGGAACACTAAAGAAGACTAAATCAACATTTCATTTATTCAAAATTCTTAAACCACAATCACTTAGCAAACCACCCCTTTTGGAACATGTTGGGATTATACTACCAAGCAATACCAATGATACAAATCTTATAAGCAAAGAAAAAACTACCACAAATTACGAGGAATTCATCACAGCTGAGTCAGTTGATGAATATATACAGTCACTTGAGAAAAATGAACTGGTCTCAGATACTGTTGAACATGATGTTAACCAATCACTTGAGAAAAATGAACTGGTCCCAGATACTGTTGAACATGATGTTAACCAATCACTTGAGAAAAATGAACTGGTCCCAGATACTGTCGAAGACGATGTTAACCAATCACATGAAAAAAATGAACTGGTCTCAGATACTGTCAAACATGATGTTAACCAATCACTTGAGAAAAATGAACTGGTTTCAGATACTGTTGAACATGATGTTAACCAATCACTTGAGAAAAATGGACTGGTTTCAGATACTGTTGAACATGATGTTAACCAATCACTTGAGAAAAATGAACTGGTCTCAGATACTGTCGAACATGATGTTAACCAATCACTTGAGAAAAATGAACTGGTCTCAGATACTGTTGAACATGATGTTAACCAATCACTTGAGAAAAATGAACTGGTTTCAGATACTCTCGAACATGATGTTAACCAACCACTTGAGAAAAATGAACTGGTCTCAGATTCAATTAAAGATTATATTGTTATGAATAAGCCCAAGGGCAATAACCAGTCAGACGAGACAACAAGGTCTGTTGAAGATAAAGACTTAAATGTCGTAAATGAACAAAATAAACTTAGTTTAAAAGAAATACAATCTAATAAGGAAAAAGGAAATGAAAAGCAAACAGGAATTGTTGGAAATGAAGTAAAAAAGAATGATAGAGGAAAGGTAATAAGAACCGGTCACTGTTGCATGTTTTGTTATAAAGTAATGAACAAATTACACAGACATTTTCAAGTTAAACATAGCACAGAAATTGAGATAGCCAAATTGTTGGCCATGCCGATAAACTCTCTTGTTAGGAGAAATGGATTTATAGATTTGGCTAGAATCGGTGATTACCATCACAACATTGAAGTGTTATCAAAGAAATCTGGTAAATTGATTGTTGTCCGTCGGCCTTCTCTGGGAGAGGAGTTTTCTTATAGAAAATACACACCGTGTCCTTACTGTTTAGGATTCTTACTAAAAAAGCATCTTTGGTTGCACGTTAAGCATTCATGCAATGTTAGGAGAGAAAAATCACATGAAGAACCATCAGCTAAAGAGCGAAGAAGAGTTCAAGCTGATAGTCGAGTTTTGTTGATGAGTTCTCTAAAACGAGATCACAACCAGCCAGCAATTTTTATTGAGAATATCTTACAACCAATGAGGGATGATAAAGTAACAGAGACATGTAAAAATGACCCCCTCATACTAAAACTAGGCAATTCACAATTTGAGAAGTATGGATTGACCAAACATGAATCAATAAGACAAGAAATGAGACAGTTGGGACGGCTTCTACTAACACTAAGAGAACTATCAGAGGGTGGAGATAAAACTTTAAAAGATTGGCTTGAACCGTTTGAGATTGATAATTTGGTAGCTGCAGTGAAACAAATGTGTATCAAAATTGATTCAGAAAATCAAACATTACAGCCTCAGTATAAAATTCCTCCCTTGGCTGTTAAATTAAGACTCAGTTTGAGGAGATGTATCACTATTGAGCGAGGCGAGGCCTTAAGAAATTGTAATAAATCAAAGAGTGAATCTTTAAAAGATTTTCTAGATTTAATGGAAAAGCAGTGGTCTATACAATTTGCTTCGATTTTAATTGACAAGTCACAAGAATCCAATAAAGTAGTTGATGCAAATTCAGAACATAACCTCAATGCAGGTAAATATCTCAAGTAAACATAATTTTTATTTCTTGTTATATAGTTAAACTCCAATAATCCGAATAAATGAAGACCCTAACACATTTGGATGATAAAAAATTCAGATAATTGGATTTTTACCAAAATTTGCAGTATTTTACAGAAGATAGACAAAGTTAAGCTGAACTTTTCATTATTAGGATCGCTGAACGCATCTGCAAAGATTTTGCAGTTAAAACTCAATACAACTAAGTTATGTCCGTTCATTTTTAAAACTGGCAACAACTATAACATGGGATGGAACGTCCAGTTATATCATCTATCAGTATTCAAAGGCACTACTCTTTAGTGGGTGTCTCATCAAGCTCATGCCAACGCAAACGCATTATGTATAAGATATTCTTTACGGGGTGCAATTTATTACAGAAGCATCACTCTTATCACAAACCTAAAATGGTGTAAGAATGCGATTTGAATTGACATTAAACCTAGAAAGTAACTGAAACATTTAAACTATGGTTTATCTTAAATTGTGAACTTAAATGTTTATAGAGCTAAGAAATAGAGACTATAAAATATGTTCATTATGTTGCTATAGTTTAGTTAGTATAATCATAATCTATAATACAGTATTTTCAGTTGAACCACTAAACATAGGTAAATATTTAACAAATGGAATACAGGGTTCAGACTTTGTAGTAATTGATCTGAATCTCTTTAAAGGTTTTGTTGCTATATATTTATTCCTATGTGGATAAATCTAAATAAAACAAAATAAACTGTTGCAGAAGCTTTAAGTGTTGGAAAAGACAGTATACCAGCTCAAGTAGAAAAGCTGGCAAAACATGGACACAATAAGAAGAATATTTCTTTAAAAAGTAAGTAATATGTTGGTGAATACCTTTCATATTAGACTCTGTTCCTGAAAAAGTAAGCAATTTAAATGTCCGTAACATTAAAAAGGGAAATCATCTTAGTAACTAAATTCATTCACAGATATGGATCTGCTCTGATTCAAATGGCACGATGCCTGCTACTTTTCCACTCCTGACTGGCTAAACTGTTAGTTTCAGCATATACCTTTAGGTACCACCAGTCACTGGGTCTAAAGCAGACTACGCAGTTTTATCCCAAACTCCCCCACCACGTTTTATGTTGATTGATGAAAGTTTTAGTTGAAAAAATGTAACTTAAGGATAAAAAGATAGCCTTTCTATTTATTTACCTCTGCCGGCATTCAAGTCCATTAAATGAATAGTATCTATCTAAGGTTTTCTTTTATTTAGGGAAAAAAATATTCTCTTTATTACAAGAATACAGGTATATATTTTGCTCACCATCGAGCGTATCATCATTATCTATTTGCAGATATGTTTAATTTGTGTGTTAAGAATAGTTTTTAAATTCAACAATACCGTACTCACAGTAGAAACTTGAGGAGTGAATTTCACGAGAATGAAATTTGCAGCTATCATCACACTTCATCACTGCTCAAATCTTACTCTAGGCCTTAGTTTTCTACCATTTTTTATCTGCTATCCAAACAAAGCCTTATTTTTATTTTAAAAAAATCATATGTCTCAGACGGATTTTTATTTTTTGTCAATTATTTAAATTCATGTGGTATAGTTGTAAAACTGACTATTTTTAAGGTTTCTTTGGTGAACTACATTTTTGTTCCTAAAATTAAATTTCTTAAAATAAGATAAACATTCTATTTCAGAGCCAACACTTAAGCGACCTTGGACCACTGAAGAAAAGGATGCAGTGATGACTTTCTTCCATTTGGCGATCGAAAAACAAGTCATTCCAGGAAAAAAAGAGTGTGAACAGTGCATAAGGCAGAACTCTGCTTTGGAACGTCGCTCTTGGCGCGACATTAAGTACTACATCCACAATTACTGCAATAAAATCAAGAAAATGACTACTAATTTGTCATCCAGTAAAAACAAAAAGAAAAGGTCTTTAAACAGTAAGTAGTTTTGCTAATGTCCATCTTTCAAATTCCACACTTTTTCTGAGAAACTCACATAATCCTAGCTAGTTATTTTTATTTACTACCCCATATGATGTATCTGGAATTTTGAAGGCAAGAATCGTTGGGAGAGTGGGGTAAGACCGGGTCGCTGAGATTTACGTAAGACACATATTCATTGTTTAAAGAAACATTATTTTAGTTTACGCAACAATTGTGTAAAGATAATGTTTACGACACAAGTCGAAAATTTAAGGTACAAGCCTTGGTGAGTGCCTTAAAAACTTCTACGAATGTCGTTAAGACTATTTACACAAGTTGAGTACACTACTTTACATACGACAGTGTTTTAATTACTAAAAATCACTACTCACAACTTCTAAGAGAGGTTTTTTTTTTTCGTTTATAACCTGTCATTGCCACTGACAGTGATGCAACAAATCATTATACCAAACACTAACTGCACCACTCAACAATTAAATTGGCCTGAACAGCTGATTAGTTCAAATCATTACAATTTTACTTCTTCCCTCCCAATCCTTGAACCTAATAAGTCCGTTACCCGTGTTGTTATGAAAATAAACAATGCTGTTTTGTGAAACTGTCAATTCTAAGAACTGAACTGAAACTGGTACTTTAAAAAAACGGTCCTAGGTAAAAATAATTACGCAGTTAAGCTTGTGTTAACTTGTTTATCAAGTGCCCCATTTAAAAATGAATAGTCCTAATAGTTTTTTTATTAAAGCATTTTTTTCTAAGTTTAGTCCAGTTTGTACCTTTTTTATGCAATATTTCATCAGCCATTCAATGTGAAAAATACGAAAATGCTTATGGAAATAACAATGTTTTAATAATTTGCCAAAAACATCGGTTGCTTTACTATCGATGTGGAAAACATTAAACATTGATAGAAAACATTGACGTTTTGAATTTATCAGCTCGATGCTCATCCCTAGTACCATCAATTTACTGGGTGAAAAGCAAACTACTTACTTGGTTTTACTCCAATCTAACCTCCATCTTTGCTATGTTTCATAAAGGTTTACTTAAAAAAATACAATTTTTAAAATACCCCCGCTGCAGCAAACCTGCAAAACTATGCAAATTTCCATTTACCGGAATTGATTTTCAATTAAATCTATTCAAATAATGTCAGGTTTAACGAGTACCTAGGTTTGCTACTACAGGGACGCTAATAAAATGTATTTTTTAGTTTTCTCCATAACAATAACTGTAGAAAAACACTTCAATATACTAAATTATTTGTTTTTAAGCTCTTAAAAATGGTCTAAACATAATTTGGGAGATTTTGCATTTTGAGGTTGTAAATTGGGAAAAGCCAACTTTCAACCCATAAAACCCCATTCCCATTGTCCGATCAAAATGAAAAAGTAATTCGGTCTTGGGCCTAGGTCTTACCCTTGAGACCTACGGTAATAGCTACTTCCCTATAGGGAAATTCGCTAAAAGGTAAAATTTTCTTTTAATTTACCTCTGACCTATTTCAATGCTCTTAAGGACTTTTGTTAGCTTACTGCAATTTTATGTATTTAGTAAATTTTATAAATTGACTTGTTAGTTACTATTTAATCAACTAACCTTATATAGTTCACATAGACCATGTTTTTTTAGAAACTGAAACTTGTACAATAAATCTGTATGTTTTCAGGGAAGTCTGATAAAAAAGTTAAAAAATCGTCGAAGGACGATTCTGATGATCCGGACTCTGTCCAGAAAGAAGAACGCAAGAAGACAAAAAGGCCCTTGAAGAGTACGTATTAAATATATTATTTATAAGGTATTTTAAGAACCCTATAGCCTAGTAGAATATTGTTAATCTGTCACCTGATGGTACATCACTTTCAATAACCTGGCATCGGTCTTAAGTAAAAAAAAGGTTTTTTTCGATGCTTTTTTAATCCAAATTATTGTTTAAAAGACAGTTTTAGACTTTAATGGTTGATTATTTCAGGGTTGCCACCACAGTGGCATGATAAAATTCATGCAGAATTCATGGTTTTCATTGGTGGTTTATAAAAAATTCATGGTCGATGCGCTTATACAATTTCGACACAATTGAGTTTTGCTGATTTCTTAAACTGAGGCAGTTTCTTTGTGTGTTACTTTTGAATAACCTTTCATACTTAATATACAACTTTTTTAGAGTAATTTATAAACATTCAAAACAAAGTTGAAAACAAAACTGGTCCAGCTCATATTCTATATGAGATATTGGAGAAGAATTGTAAAATATATTAAGTCTAGGTCTAATTCAGTCTTTCCACCGGAATAAAACAAAAATCCCACTCACCCAACCAAAAAAGTCGTGTTTCATCTAGTTTTATCCCCCTCTACATAAAATGTGCGCTCTGGTTTATCTTATTCCACAATGTACTAAAATATGATGGTTTTATCCAAAAAGCTAAAAAAATCAGGCGTCAGTCGGAGATTCAGTTTTATTGCGCACCCCGTTTCAATTCTGTGCATGGTCTAAAACTTCTGTTTTTGTGATTTAATTCGGATACCCCTTTTTCATACGCAGGGCCCTCCTTTTTCATCACCAGCCTACTAATGATTTTTCGAACCATATACAGTCCTCGGGAAGTCTCAGCTGACATCAGCATCTTTGAATGACTTGGAATGAACCAAGCAATTGTTTCTGACTGTGGAACATGTTAAATAATCATCTCCACACAGTATTTTCATGGTGTTCGTTTCTATGAACTGTTTTTAACTATGAAATATTTTTTATTTGGAAAACTTAATGGTATAGGTTGAATAATTTTTTCTGATTTTGAAAATTCATGGTCCATTTGAGAAATCCATGCATAATCCATGCCTTTTTTCATGGTCACAAGAATTCATGCATATTCAAGCTTTTCAAGGTTTTCATGGCTGGTGGCAACCCTGTATTTATATGAATGTGAAATAGTTATAAAACTGAGTATAATGTTTCTTTGCTAAACCAATTTTCAAATTCCTACCAGTAATTTTTTTAAAACAAGATAAACATTTCAGAACCAACACTTAAGCGACCTTGGACACCTGAAGAAAAGGATGCAGTGATAACTTTTTTCCATATGGCGATCAAAAAACGTGTGGTTCCAGGAAAAAACGACTGCGAACAATGCATCAGGCAGAATTCAGCTTTGGAACACCGTTCTTGGCGCGATGTTAAGTACTACGTTTACAACAACTGCAGAAAGTCAAGAAAATTACATTCATTTTGTCACAACCTAAAGTAAACGAATGCAGTGATAAGATAATACTTCTGATAGTTAATATTAAGAATATGTCATAAAATAATATTTTCTGTAAAAAGGGTGCTGAATCTTGGCTTTGCTTTTAATGGATTATAATGAAGATAAAAAAAATATTTATCTAATAAGAATATTGTATTTTTACATTTAAACTGTCAGCCCCTTTAGGGTTAGCATTGGTTCATTAGGATTGGTTTCAATTGTCCATCTAACTAGAAATATCTGTATTTAGGTAACTTGATTACAATATTGTTGACTGCAAGAATATACAATCAAATAATAGTATTTCATCACTAGGGTGTAAAGTGACTCTTTTTGACCCAAATTTACCTTGGTCGGAAAGTGAGCGAGGGTTGAAAAGACCCTTCGTCCGTGTGATGAACACTTTTTTGTCATATTGCATAATCAAAAGACTAAGCTAGAATACAAAAATACTTTTCCTACAGTCACCCGACAAAGTTGGCTTCCTTGTACTGTTTATACTGTAGTATAGAAAGCTGCTAATTGCTGCATATTTATACTTTGTCGTACGGTTTATACTTTGGTGCACATCAGGATTCCAACGAAACAACACAAAACAGCGTGGTTATATTATGCACGTAATCCGTGTACGCTTGGAAATAGGTTGGCAACACTTAAAGATAATAGTACTTATGAGCAGCTGACTATTATAACTACGATTTAACCTGTCATTTCGTGTTTATAGTTTCGGTATTTCTGAACTTTCTGGACTTTTCTTTTAAACGTTTTTAAAAGATCTTAACAAACAAGAAAATACCTTTAAAGCATATTTTTTAGGCACGGAAACCACGTCAAATTACAAAAACATACGGAACTATATTCTCAAGTCGCGGAGCACATTTCTTGCCGAAGAAAAATAGCGGAGTGATACGAACCGGGTACTACTTTATCTAGGGCACCTATTTGTGTTGCCAGCTGAACCTAAAAACGTGTTGTATAGTGTTTGAAAGACTAATTATTTATATGCTTTATAGTGACTGTAGGAAAAATATAATGTGTAACACGAGTGCAAAAGGCCTTTGCTGCACTCGAGATCATTCCTGCAGCTCGTGCGTAAACATTGCTCTCGTGTGCAGCAAAGTGCCACTTTACCCACTGGTTACACAAATAACTATTTCATGTAAAGATAGCCTGTCAAGGTGACTTCCAGCTTGTTTTCAATTCAGCTAATGTAAACAAGCAGCTGTTTAGTAAGTAATTCAATTCAATCATATTGTCTATTGGATTGTGTTTTTGTACATTATACCACCAATATGTGGAACTATTGAACAATAAGCTACAACCGATTAAATCAATAATTTTGTTCCATGTGATAGCTTACAATTGAAATTTACAACAGCTTACTTTTACTCTCTAAGAACTGAAATGGCTTTTTCACCACACTATGATGTTTTTGGCTGTATTACATACGTTAATTGGTGGCTGAAAGTTACGTTTTGCTGGACATGCCAGCTGTCCTTGTAATTTGGGGACCGAGCAGGTTTTTACAGCCCGGGGCCGCAAAATCAGCTGTCCGCTTACTTACTTAAAACATGAATGCATTTTAAATACACAATCAAAATTCATAGCATTGCAATAGAATTGTGTTATTGTCACCGTTGCCTAGCAACTACGAGTATTTATTTTTATTTTTGCTGATTCCTCAAATTATTTCTTCACATAACCTTAAAGTTGTAGTTGTGTTGACTATCAGTGTGCATTATTATAGTGGTGAATAGTGGTAATAGGGTATAGTGTGGTGAAAAATAGCTGATTAAAGAATTTAGATACTGTAGATGGCTAAACTTTGATTGAAAGATAGATGTAGATAGATAATAAAGAGAGAAAAACTAGATGATGTTTTTAGTGGACTGTATTTCTTTTAACAATAGCGTTCGTACCACGTACCGAAATGGTTTTGCAGTTCTCGATCGATTTAAGTTCTCGACTTCGTCTCGAACTTAAAAACTATCTCGAGCCGGCAAAACCTAATTTTCGGCCCTATGTACGAAATATACTATTTATTACGTAGGGAGTAAAAATGCTACTTTAGATCCACAACACATTATTTAAAAAAATATTTTTTATTCGTTTTTGACTTATTTGCAATAAAATTTTTGGCTCTTGAAAAAAAAACCTCGTTTTCGGATGGTTTTTTTAGTTAAAAAAACCCACAGAAGAAAAAATTATAGCTTAAGAAGATAAAATTAATCCACACAGGGTAGATTTTGAAATAGAGTAGTTATAAGTAGAACCTAAATCCAATTTTCATAAAAATCTGTGCTGTACGGGATTAATACAGTTACTCTTTTTGTTACCGTCATTGACTAGACCATAAGAGACCATTGTAAGCCTTTTTAGTATAAACTAAGCTACTGGCTGTGATAAATTTGTATGTATTTATTTATTAATAACTGATAAGATGATTTGTTTAATGTTGAAATAGTTGTATTAGGCCTATGGCCTATATACCTATGGTAATATTTGTGTTCGTTTTTTTTTGTTCATGATTTGTCTATTAATTGTCTTTAAAGTTTTAAAAAGACTACTTTTTACCAAATTTTAATTTGTGTTGACACTAGTTGTATTTAAACTATGAACTAACATTGCCTTGCCTATTTTGTATCATGTAACCTAGACTTAGCGTGGCCTAAGTCTCTTGAACAATTGGGACTCTTTTACTCCTATCTTACTGTTGTTTTAAAACTTCCATATTATATCATGTTAGAGTTAAACACAGAATATACAAGATGGAAAAAAGTCCCTGGACAGTTTAAATGTATCATGAAATAATACAGATAGAGCTACAGAAGTCAAAACTTGGTTCAACGTTGGTGTAAGAAGGTATTCAACATTATTCCAACAATATTACTTGGTACAATGAACAACCTCAATATAAATCTAATACAAACATGAAAACCATAGATAACATAATGTGAATTCAACTGTACTAATGGCCAATATCAATTTATTCTATGGCAATAATTTATATTTGTTAGGAGCTTGTTTTGTTTTTTGCTATTTGCACTCTTTTTACCAGTCAGCCTATGGTAGGTAATGACTGGCTTAAAAAAGAACTTAAGTCCATGGGATTGTATTTTTCCCCCTACTGGATATAATTAATATTGTAAGGCTGAGATATTTGTTTTAGTTCTGAGTGTAAAGTTTTTGTTTGATGATGATTATTTAAAATATTATACGCTAATAATTAAGTTTTGATTATGCGTTTGTTGCAATTTATATACGTTTTTAACCACAGCTATATATTTTTTTGGCAAATACATACTGTTAAATTAAATTTTGTTTATTGTGTGATGAAATAAAACTGTTAATCTTTAGTTTTTGGTATATTTGATACTCCCAAATCATAAGTAAAATTTAAATTTCTATTATATTTGGTAATAGTTCTACTATCTGTTTTCCCTAGCAGCTTTAAAACATTTTTTTTTCTAATTAATTTTAGTCCTGTATCCCACTGCTTAAACACAGGTGAAGCTACTAGCCTGTTAGCAAAAATATTTTATCCGCCTCTCTTTATATTTACCTGTGAAAATATATAAACTAATCAAAAACTGGATTCCAAGTATGGGCTTACCATAATGTTCTTTTAGTCCTAGATAAGTGCCCATTCAAAACATAACTTTTTATTGTTTTTAACATTCACTTGAAATAACATGTTTAGATTTGACATGTCATGCTGTAAATTGTCTTAGTCATTTGGAACTTAACATGACAATGCTTCCGATAAAATTCTGCTACCTTGGTACTCTTATGTAAAAATGTATTAGGAGACCAGGAGTCTTCATGGTTGACTCGTCTATTAATATTCTTAAAAAGTTAAACTCACAAAATAATTGGTTAATTTTGGAATTAGGGGCCAGAAATGAGTAGGAATTCTGATGGTCAACTCATGAAGTAACGTTCCTACCAGGTTTCATCAAAGGTCCATGGTATAGTAAATTTAAGATACATTGACATGTAAATAATTAGTTCCAAGAGTATTCATGTTTTATAAGAAAAAGGCAAATTGCGTTTCATTATAATGGGACATTTTGTATTGATTTGTGGTGTCAATTCATCCAGTAAAACATTTCAATTCATGTCACTTTGTCAATAACCATCACTTTTTTTATCATTTTCATTTTCAACCCTAAACCGTAACTGTAAAAAACATCCAAAAGCACTCTACCCGACTCAAATGACAAAAACTCACAAGGGAAAACACATTCTTATTCAAAAGCCTTTAATACACTAAAACCTTTATACAAAAATAAAATACAAGAAACGTCAACACTGTCACAATATTCAAGATATATTGCTAATGGAATGTCACATATGTTCCCACACTACCCGCTTGCAATCGTCAACATGTAAATAAATAAGTCAGCATAGTTGGTAAGGTAACAGAGAGATAGAGAGAAGGATTGAGGTGAGTCAGGTTAGGCCTGGTAGGTAGACGCGGAGACGTTGCCTCCGTGACCAGTCCAGTTGGTGTGAATGAACATGCCCGGACTGGACAGCAGCTCGTATGTGTGAGCACCGAAGTAGTCCCTCTGGGCCTGTAAAGAATTTGTGGTTAGGTCAATGTTCCTTTTGATGGCTCTACGTAATGGCTTACCTCTTCATAAAGCAAGGGGCCTTCAAAACATTAGCGCATTAAATTTAAACTGATGAAGGGGAGATTTATATTTTAGATGATATTTGAAGATAAATTAACCTCAATAAGTACATGGTACTGAGTGATTGTTTCCTCTTAAATCCTCTTGATGGCTGACACTGACACAACTGGAACTAAACTATTTAGTGTAGACACTCGCTTATCAGGGATGTTTAAAACTGTGGCAGAGCCAGATCAGTATAGCAGAAATGTTGAAAAAATGGAGCAAACATAAATTAGGTAGTATAGGTAGACTATTTGTTGGAGTACCAGTACTAATCTCAGCCGACTGCCATTCCTGAGCGAGATGCTAATAAAACAAGACCAAAAAATCTTACGCCTGAGAGAAAAGACATACCTGAAGGAGGTTAGCAGGCAGCTGTTTGCTGCGGTAGCCGTCATA